TTTGAAATAATTGATTTGATTTCAATAATTGAAATGATTTGAAGTCATGTCTCCGAGTCCTAGTGAGAGACCACCTTTAATTCTAGCCCTGTATGCTTCCCGTTAGCTACCTGTTAGCTTCCCGTTAGCTACCTGTTAGCTTCCCGTTAGCTACCTGTTAGCTTCCCGTTAGCTACCTGTTAGCTGCAGATGTTCAAGTTCTCGATCTTTAAACTCGGGTTTGTGTTTTCAGACTCCATCGCCAACAAGCTTCACATGCAGAAAGTCTCAGAGTTCGCGTTGTCACCTGGAGGTCAACCCTGCAAGGTGAGGACCCTCATCAGTGTCTGTGTCCCCTGCTCCGTCTGTCCTCTCATGTCTCTGTCCTCTCTCCCCTCTAGGTGGCTGTCTACGTTCTAGGCAGTAAAGGAGCCCCCTCGTTTGTTCGTCTGTACCAGTACCCGGTGCTGGGCGGACCGACTGCGGCAATTGCCAACAAGAGCTTCTTTAAGGCGGACAAAGTGCACATGCAGTGGAACAAGAAAGGTGAGCGGAGGGCCGAGGGTCTGACGTGACACTCTGAGGAATAAGTCCTGACATGAAGCTGTTTCCTCTGAACGTCTCAGCCTCCGCGGTTCTGGTGACAGCGAGCGTCGAGGTGGACAAATCTGGAGCCTCCTACTATGGCGAGCAGACTCTGCATTACCTTGGTGTGAACGGAGAAACCGCTCTGGTTCAGCTGTGTGAGTTCACTCGTAGTTCTTGACAAGATTTTAACTTAATGATGTGACTCAAGTTAGAGGTGGAATGAAAACGTCATGTTTATAATCTGAAGAACAAAAAACGTTCTGAGGGACACGAGATGTTTACAAACTCTTTTCTTTCTGTGATTGAAACAGCGAAGAATGGGCCAATCTACGATGTGGTGTGGAGTCCGAACTCTGCAGAGTTCTGTGTGGTGTACGGCTTCATGCCGGCCAAAGCCACTGTCTTCAACCTCAAATGTGACCCTGTGTTCGACTTTGGAACGGGACCGAGAAATGCAGCCTACTACAGGTGAGGACAAACCTGCAGGTTCACAGATGAGTCGGTGGAACCATGTCAGATTTTAATCCTGTTTCCAGTCCTCAGGGACACATTCTGGTCCTGGCTGGCTTCGGGAACCTGCAGGGTCAGATGGAGGTCTGGGACGTGAAGAAGTACAAACAGGTGAAAATGATGTCACCGCCCTCTAACTTGTGTCCTTTACGTTGGGATTGTCTGTGAAGTGATAAATCCACTAGAGGGCAGCGCAGTGTCGAGACTTTCTGACAGAAAGGAGGTTGCGATAAAGTTCCTCTTCCTCTTGTAAACGATGGAGGTCCAACTCAAAGTTTCTCATGACTAAGTGCCACCATCGTTGAACTTTCCTCATATGATTGTCTCACTGTAGCTATTGGCTACACTGCCCCCTCATGGTTTCTTGTAGTAATGAAAACTCAGAGTACGAACAGAAGTCTTCATCTGATCCTTTAGGTTCTGCAGGTAACAGGATGTTTCAGAACAGTTTTGTCAGTAAAATGAAAACCTGGATCAGATGAGTCGTGACCTTCAACCAGCTCAGTTCTCTGCAGGTCGGTTCAGACCTCATCATCTCCTGATGATGGACAGGAACCTGAATGTAGTCTGATCCCTCCCTCTCTTTACAGGTGTCCAAACCTCAGGCTCCAGACGCCACCCTTTTCTCCTGGTGTCCTGATGGCGAACACGTTGTCACGGCGACCTGCTCTCCCAGGCTGCGGGTCAGTAACGGTTATAAGATCTGGCACTACACCGGCTCTGTGCTTCATAAATGCGACATAGCTGCTGGTTCGGAGCTGTGGGAGGTTCTGTGGCAGCCGTTCCCTCACGGCAGCTTCCCAGAGCGGCCCGTGAAATACCAGGCGGCGTGCAGCGAGCTAGGGACCACACAGGCCCCGCCCACTCAGGCTTATCGCCCACCTGCACTGAGACACCTGCCGGCCTCGGCCAGCACCAAACTGGTGAGGAGACAAACAAGCGACCAGCAGCGTACATGCTGATTGGTTCTGAAAACATCACCTGCAGCTCCACCCACTTTACCTGAAACTATTGACCTTGACCTGTATCACATGTCATCTACCTGTCTGTCAGCACGAGGAGGAGCCTCCTCAGAACATGCGTCCAGGAGAAAAGAACCTTTCAAAATCAGCTCTGAAGAATCAGAAGAAACGAGAAGCAAAGAAAGCAGCGAAACAGGTGAACTGACGACCGAGTCACTGACTCTTGTCACATGCATGTCACATGTATGTAACCATCACATGTTTTGGTAACGTATTGATCTCTGATCAGGAATCAAAGTCTGAACCATCGCCTGACCCCGCCCCTGTCACCAACAGCCAATCAGAGCCGGGCAGCGGTGACCCGGAGACAGACAAGAAGATTAAGAATTTAAAGAAGGTGAGGAGCAGGACGGATCACATGACCTGAGGAGCTCAGCCTGTTCTGTGCTGTGATTGGTCCATTTGTGTTTTTCAGAAACTGAAAGCCATCGACGAGCTGAAGGAGCAACAGACGTCAGGACAAGTCCTGCAGAAGAACCAGGTGATCGATTAACGACCAATCAGCTTCTGTCGATTAACGACCAATCAGCTTCTGTCGATTAAAGGTCCAGTGTGTAAGATTCAGGTGAAAGGATCTATTGTTAGAATTATAAAATAATCCTAGTGATGTTTTCACTAGTGTTTAATGAAAATTGTACAAATTGTTGTTTTCGTCTAGAATGACCCATTTATATATAAATACTGTACATACTTTATTTGCATACTTTTTCAAATACTTCATGTTCGCATGCTTAATATTGAAATACTTTAGAGGCAGCCATGTTTTTTACAGTCGCTCAGACTGGACAAACTAAACATTTTGAGTTTCTATGGCAACTGAAGCTGCCACAGGTTCTGTCATGTTTTTTTGTTTATTTTGGGGGGGGGCATTCAGCTGCAACATGACACGTCACCACTAGATGTCACTACATTCTACACACTGAACCTTGCATGACCAATCCCCTCCATTGATCATTGTGTGACAGTCGTCTGGTTTGTTTTGTGCAGCTGGAGAAGATCCAGAAGGAGGAGCAGCTTCTGGAGGAGCTGGAGGAGCTCCAGATCAGACAGTAGGGGGCGGTGCACGAGGGCACGCCTCCAAGTCCCACAATCCATCACTCTAATGAACACTGAGGACCACTATCTGTTCCTGAACGTTAATATTAAAATGTTTTAGTTTCCTCCACCTGAACTCAAACGAGCAGGGGGTGGGGCTTATATAAGAGGCTGTACCCAGTTTAATACACCTACATCACCTGTCCATCACTTCATCTCTCTGCCTCTGGAATTCTGGGAAATGTAGTTCATTAAAAAATGAGATTAAAAGTTGAAATGTTTTTGTTTACTGAGTGTGTGGCAGTGTCCCATTCACAATAAAAGCCTGCATGCTGGTCCTAACACAATGCATGCTGGTCCTAACACCACCACCTAACATGCTGGGTACGTCACGTGACCTTAAAACATGGTGGGAGAGGGCTGGCTGCAATCGGATGTCCTCCTCCTGCTGCACCAGACAGACGTTCTCCTGCTGCACCAGACAGATGTTCTCCTGCTGCACCAGACA